TTCAGTTCTGTGGTAGTACGAACGCTTTACCGGTCGAGCCATCTGGGAAGCTGATGGCCATCTTCTTGTGGACCAAGGATGTTTGTCCTGATTCTCTCGAGCTGGTGGATGTCATTCCAGGTTCGGACAAGAAGTCTGGTTTTGTGGAGGGCATTTTCCTCTACGAGGGCTCTCTGGTTTCTATATTCATTCCTTCATGGTATGCCGAGCAGCGACAATGTCAATCACGCCACTGTGGCACCTCTCAAGTTGAGGCACCGATTAAGGAGTCACCTACGGATCACAGTTTTGGAAACCAGTGTCCGCTACCATGCAGCACGGGACTTTTACCCCTACCACTCACTCCACCTACGACCCCCACATCCAGAGAAGCATCAAGCACTACGCAATCCGACAATTTGATCAGCTGCGCCAACTGGAACGCCTTTGCTGCCTGGGCACAAGCGCCATCCCCATATCAGAACTCATCTTGATAATACGTTTTTGTTATGCTATGTTCGTAATTCTTTGTCAGGTTGTCGAAGTATGCTAGTAATACAAGTTAGCTCCGTTTATTCGCATGGATACATTAGGATACCTTTAGCACCTGGATACTTAGCAACTCGAAAGAGGCATAACACCGTTACAGAGAGGGAGCTTTGTACTCCAAGAAAGAAGAAGGAAGTTTTGGACAATGGAGAACAGAGGACAGTATGTATCAGAAGCTAGCTGGACATCCGCATACTAACGGACACAGGAAGGCAGCCCTTGTGATGTGGGACCATGGAGGAGAGCAGGAGACGCACGGAAACATGGCTGGGAACAACACGCACCCCGTGTACGTTTCAGGCGATTCTGTTGCTGCTGTGATGAAGAAGTGGCGGTTAAGGAGCTATACTGCGGTATCTGTTCGCACATGAGCTGCGCGGAATGCCTGTTAAGGCAGGGATCATAGTAACTAGTATACTTAGTTAGAGCTCCTGCAGCCCAAGAAAAAAAAAATGCGCGAGGAATCAACTTATGGGCATCCATAATCAATACCGCTGTTTGCGCTACTAAATCCTTTGCGTCCGGGCTTGCGTGGCACAATGATCGCAATCAAGCTTGATGAAGATATATATACTATTCTTTATCCCTATGTTGTTTGGTCTTTATTCGTTATTCTCTCCCTATGCTCTTATCACTAGCGCGACCAATATCTATCGAGACATCACCAAAAGAACCACCGCGCGCTGAAAAGGTCGAAGAGAATTCAATCAAAAAAGGCCAGAAGAAACAAGGCTAGAAGAAAGCAGAACAAGAACACCCACGCCTCTTAACGTCCTAAGATTTCCACAAGCAAATACCTCTAGGAAATGTGAGTCAGCAGATACTAGGTCTTTCTCTGTGCTGATTTCATGCCCAGGGACATCGACTTCAAATCAGCCTTAAAAGAGGCCAGACAGAAACGAGATCGCAACGCACAAGCTCGCAGGCGATACCGCGAGCGAGAAGAACCCGAGCGAGGAAAATCCGAGCTTCTTGACCTCCTGGAACTTCGGACGGTCAATTATCTCAAATATGGCGGCAATTTTGGCAAGGAAATGAGTCCACTGAGATGTGAGTACCAGGAAAAGAGTAGGGAAGTGATATTGAAGAAGCTTAAAAAGGTGGAGTCCCTTCTCAGGGCAAAGATCCTTGTACTGCTTGAGTCCAGAGGGTATACTCCTGATAAGACGCTTGAACTGGATCTCTTGGAGGCGCAGCTATTAAAGTTTATTAGAAAAGAAGAAGACTAGAATGTGTCAAGGCGCCTCTAAGAAATACTATAGTTCCTTGAATGGGTATCATGATCTGTTCATTCACCAGCATCTTTAGCCACCTCGCTGAGATAAAATTTATGAAGCTCCATGTCTGCCCTACTCTTTGGGAACTAGCACTAATCAATCACCTTGAGCGGCTTGTTAGTGACTTGAGATTTTGAGCCACTTCTCCTTTTATCTAGATCAACTCACCTGCTTTTATCGAGGGAGAGTTTCCTAGTAGTAGGCAATGTGTACAGGTCAACAATTGGAAGTAGACGAGTATTTGCGTGAATGAGAAGGTGCTCTAGCATAATATTATATATACACCTTGAGCCCCCTTGACCTATGCCTGGCTTAGTCCATCAAGTAATACATCTCAACGCAGTAGAGGAATAACCAGTTGGAATCCCGCAACAACCGCTGAAGTTCGTTTGCAAATACACCCCTTGTAACCTGTATGTCAACCAACTCGTTATACCTTTCAGACAGTACTCCGCACATTGCATGAAATTCAT